AAGCACAGTCACGAAACACGTTTTTTGACATACTGACGTAATAAAAATACCTTTAACTATGATTCCAAAATATTAATTATGCATATTTACAATATGAATCATAATTTTCACTAATCATTAATTATTCGGTGATGCACTTGACAAGGTTGGACATATCCTGGAAATTTTCAATTAATTATTGTAATTCTTTCATTTATAATCTGTGCAGCATCATTGATAACTTTGAAACTTTTGTCACGAAAAATAACCCAAGACGCCATACTAAGTTTTATTAGTGTCAAATAAATTTTTGCAATTTGTGCAAACAATTTACATTAGAAATTTAAAAACTACGACTATTGACATTTTATAAGTGCGGTAATAATAAAACGTTTGTTTTATATTAAAAAATTATAAATTTAATAGGAATGAAAGAAGGAAACTACTTATCATAATATAGCCTTTATTGTTTATTGCTGATGCTGAACATGTGCCTCCCTTAGTCGTCCCAAGTGATTCAGATTATAGCAACCCTCCTTAACATCATCAGATTTCGACGATATTTGTAACTATATCGGTATCTTTGATGCCACTCTGATTTTTCCTACACATGTATACAGTGTTAAACTTTCTGTACCTTAAGTCAATGGTAGGACCAGGTATTGACCTGGGTTTTTCCCTCATAATTTACTATGGAATCACTAACAGGAGAATCTTACTGTCATCATGTCATGTGTTTGTCTTTTTAAAGACGACTTACATGCTATGATTTTTTTCTGACGGATATTCTCAAGTTAAAGTTGATTTCATGTAATCGAATGAACTATCTTAATAAGTAAAGTCGTCCCAGGAGCGCAACTCACAATATTGGCAATATCATTTTAAAGTCGTCTACTTTAAAATGCATAATGTATGTCTGAATTGTCAATATAAATGAGTCAGATAAAATTAAATTATTAGAAGAATTTTTCACTACGTAACAAAAAACAAAATTTGTTTAATTTACTGTTTGTATTTTGTGAAGTTTTGTTGTTTTTTTTTTTGTTTTGTTTTTGTTTCCGAAGTGGAAATTGAAACGTCAATAAACGTATTTTTATCTTTAATTGTGGCTTATTCCCAGTTAAATAGTAATTAAATAGTAATAACTTAAAATATATTTCCAGATATATTATACTCCTCGAGTTGAGCTATAATAAGAGGCCTATACATAGTATCTAATGCTTTTTCGATATCAAACGAAACAGTTATTACGTCTTGTTTGAACTGAAAGGCGTTGATGATTGATGTTTGGAGGTCTCCTAGATTGTCTGCTGTACTTCGATGTGATCTAAAACCTGCTTGTGCCAAATTTATTATTTTATATTTTTCTAGGTGCCACAGAAGCCTTTTTTAATCATTTACTCCATAAATTGTACATGTGAATGAAATTGGTCTGTAGGAATTTGGATCAGTTGATCCAAATTAAATTGTAAATTTCAAGCATTTTAGCTAGACTAGACGACAAAAGATTTTTAATAAAGAAAAGGGAATGCTATCTGGACCTGCAGGTAATTTTTTGCAACAATACAATGTGTGTGATAATTCTTGTAATGTAAACGGCGTATTTAGAGAAATTTGATCGGATTTTCTGCTATCAAATAAATAATAAAAAATAATAAGAAAGCTAGATAAAATAGGTATACAGAAATACAATATAATAGGTATTTAGAAAGTTAAATCTATAAAAAGTATAAATCGGTTATACAAAAAATTCAGAATTGCCTTTAGATCATCATTAAAATTTTAAAAAAAATTAAATTGTTTAGTAACATTTTACTATCTTTCCTTAAAATACACCTCAAACAATCCCTACTAAACCTATTGATCATCAAATTGGTACGGAAATGAGAAATACAGCAGTTTGATTGAAGTTTTAGCATGGTTTCGATAAAAACCATTTGGCGCTACTGAATAATACAATAAAATGCATCAACACATGTCCGCTAAAAGCTTTAAAACAATTTAAGCAAATAACATTCAACCCACTTAATGCTCACTTAAGACAATGTGACTAATGTACACACTGTTCCGAATATATATGTGAATACCTTTTGTAAAAGCATATCACATCGTATTGTACATATACACTGTATATGTATAAACATAAAACAAATTATCCCATTGCATACAATGGGATCTCAGAATAACCAAAAGCAGAATAGAACAAGCCAGAACATTATTTAAGAAGCTCCACATGTCTTCACCATCTAATTGTTGGCTTTATCAGGAGTGCACTACAAATTTATTAAAACAAAGAGATAAGCAACATTAAAATAAAATTATATAAATATTAACTCACAGAGGTAAAACTGTTAAAAAAAAAACAAGACAAACACTTGTACTACACTTTTACAATTAGATTAACAATTTTAAAATAATTGATATAAGGTTGAATGCTCGAATAAATGAACTTTGAAAATTAAGGCAAATATCGAGCACAAATTTAATAATTAAATCTTGCCCAAGTAATTTCACTTTCTACAGCATCATCAGGGGCATTTTGTTACATTTGGGCTATCCAGCAAGCGCATAATGTAATAAACATGAAATTGGACCTAAATTGTACATAACACTACATTAAAACAAGGACAAACAGTTTAAAATTATTAAAAATTATTCTACGCTCTACATTCTTGTCGGCAACAGGAGAGAAGAATGATTCTCTCATTCACACAAAACATAATACACATAAAACAACAAAAAGTATATAGTGGGATAGACAAGTTACTTTGTATTTCTATACATAAAATAAAGTAGCAGGTACATGATAAATTAATTTTGAATTAAATGGATTACAGAATATTGCCATAGATGCTGCTTAACTGATTCGTATCTGCTTTGTAATTTATTTCATTTTTTGTGTTGGTAATATAACACATTTCGAGAAACAGCCCGTTTTTATAATTAGTTACTGTGTTAAAGTGTTCGATAACAGCGCATGTGTTTTTACCTTTATGGCATTCACTTTTGTGCTGGGTAATACGTTGTTTTAATCATTGGCATGTCTATCCAATATAGCAACCGTCGCAGTCTAAACACGGTATTTTGTAGATTGTATTGATAGTGTACATTATTGGTATCTTTAACACTAAAAACGGACTTTTAATAAAGTTTAAAGACCTATAATATTGCTATCATTGTCTTTTTGAATGATTAAAACCGGTAAATAATACGCATGTTTTTGTTTATCCTATTGTTAGTTAGTTTTGGATACGGGAGGAGTAAGCGACTGCAAAAAATCCGACCGGCCTCGCCTGGCTCGTACATCTTAAGTTATTAACGCCGTTAGGTCAAGAATTAACCGAATTCGATAGCAAAAAATCATGGCTCTGGAAATGAATATTGCGCCGAGAACCATGAGTAACCGTATCAAACAAGACTTGGGACTCTCAAAGGAAAAACAAACAAAATAGGAAAACAAAATTAAGATGCCTGCCATCGTTGTACGGTAAAAGCGATCCAAAGAAATCCTCTTTACAAATAAACAAATTTTCACTGTGAAGAAAACTTTCAATAAACAAAACGATGAAGTTTATACAGTCATCCACAGAAGCCCGCGAACTGGTGTCAAGGATTGAATAAGGTGATTACCCTTCCTCATTTTTGTGAAAAGGGCGTTAAAACAGCGGCGAGAAATTATCAAAGAGACATTTTAACAAATTTGGTGGAGCCCCTAAGCCACACTATATTTTTAAAATCCATCCATCCAATGACACTACAGCCCAAGCCGGGCCTTGGCCTCCTTCATTAAACCTCTCCAAACATCTCTATTTACTGCTGTTCTTTTCCATGAACGCGTTTTTAGGAGATTTTTGGCATCCTCATCTACCTCGTCTTCCCATCTCTTTTTTGGTCTTCCAACAGGTCTTTTTCCTTGCATTCTTGCGTTTAGTAATTTTCTGGGGATTCTGTTCTTATGCATGCGGGCCACATGCCCTGCCCATCGTAATCTCTGCAGTCTAGTGTATTGTGCTAGTGTTGGTTCAGTGTATTGTTCGTATATTTCGTTAATATATCTAATTCGCCAGTTGTTATTTTCCTTTATTGGACCCAGTATTCTACGCAATATTTTTCTTTCGAACACGTCTAATGCATTGGTAGATTTCTGTGTTATAACCCATGTTTCACACCCATAACTTACTATGGGTAGGATTATTGTTTTATATACCCGGAGTTTTGTTTTCCGGTGTACGTCTCGCGATTTGAATATGTGGCCCATCGCGAAATAGGCTTTGTTTGCCAGCATAAGCCTTCTATTTATTTCCGGTTCTTCTTCATTATTTTCGACAGATCCATTCCTAAATACGTGAATCTATTCACGTATTCTATATCGTCTATAAATTGTTGTTGTTGCGCCTGTCTATTTGATCTGGTTTGTATGAGTAGTTTTGTTTTATTTGTATTTATTGTTAGCCCTACAACTTCTGAACTCTGTTTCAACTGAACGTAGGTTTCTTCTGCCGCAGTCTTTGTTCTGCTCATTATGTTTATGTCATCTGCGTATGCTGCTAATTGGGTAGATTTGTTTGTAAGTATGTTATTTCTGCTCACCGTCAACCGTCTAATTACATATTCAAGAACAAGATTAAAAAGTGTTGGAGCCAGTCCGTCACCTTGTTTAAGTCCTTGCGTTGTCATAAACGCATCAGTGATCTGTCCTTGAATACATACATGTGCTTCTGTTTCTGTCATTGTCATTTGCACTAGTCTTATTAATTTTGATGGTATGCCAAATTCTTGTAATATATTAGGTAGTATTGTTCTATCTATTGAATCATAGGCTTGCTTGAAATCTACAAAGAGATTGTAGACGTCTATGTCATATTCCCATGCTTTGGCTAGTATTTGTTTAACTGTAAATAGTTGGTCAATAGTAGATCTATTTTGCCTGAACCCTGCTTGATATTCCCCGATAATTTTTTCAGTGAGGGGTTGAAGTCTTCGATTAAGAATGTTTGTGAGTATTTTGTATCCCGAACAAAGTAAAGAGATGCCTCTATAATTCTGGCATAACAGTTTGTCTCCTTTTTTATGAATAGGGCAGATTATACTTTTCTTCCATTGTTGTGGGATTTTTTCTTCTCTCCATATTTCTTGTATAAGCTGGTACATCTGTTCTGTCAAATTTGTTCCTCCCTGCTTGAACAGTTCTGCCGGTATCTTATCTATTCCCGGCGCTTTATGGCTTTTTTGCATTTGGATTGCTGTTTGAACCTTCTCTAGCGTTGGAGGTCTAGCCAATTCATTATCTTCTCCATCTTCCCACAGCTCCTGTTGTTGACCTTCCTGTTCTACCTGCTGCTGCCGCTGTTGTAGTGGTGTTTGTGCCCTTTCGTTTAATAATTCCTTAAAATACATCATCCAGGTTCTCTTAATTTCGTCCATATCGCTAATTATTTCCCCATTCTTATTTTTGCATAGGCTAGTCTTCGGTTTGTAACCCTGTCTTAAATGTTTGATAAGTTGGTATGCACTGCGTGTTTCGTTTTCCTTGAACGCCCTCTCTATGTTTAGTATCCGGTTGTTTTCGTACCGTCTCTTTTTCTGTCTGCATAGTTTATCAGCTCTTCGTCTTTTATTCTCAAATTCTGTCCTTCTCTCTCTAGTTCGTCTGAGTATGAAATTCTTATGTGCTTCATTTCTTTCGCGGATAGCTTGTTTGCATTCTTCATCGAACCACTGTTCTTCTCTCCGTTGAGTGTTTGTTCCAAGAACTTCTTGTGCCGTGTTTAGTATGATAGTGCTTATGGTGTTCCAATGATTTTCTATTGTGAATTCTTCTATGTTTTCTTCTAGTAATTTTTCACATCACTGTTCTCTCAAATCTTTCTTGTACCTCAGAGACTTTTAGGTTAATCTAAGTTTAGTTTTTCTTGTTTCGGATATTTTCCTTTGCTTGTCGACTGATTTTACATCTAAGCCCCTAAGCCACACTATATTTTTAAAATAGACCATGAAATATTTCAACACGAGTCTGCACCTGCGCATAAGTCCAAATCTCAAGGTCAACTACTTGAAAATCATAAATCATGTACCCGAATTTATTAGTAATGACCGTTGGCCTCTAGATAGCCGAGACTTTAATCCACTTGACTACAAATTGCCCAGTTTTAGAGAGCATGGTCTGTACAAGACGTTACCATAATGTGGAGTCATTGAAGCAGGCGCTAGTAAAAGCTGTGGACAATTTTCCTAAGGATGTCATCCGTAGAGCCATCCATAAATGGCCTAACAGACTTGGTGCTTATATTCAGGAAAATGGAAACTATTTTGAATATTTTTTTTGTAATTGGCAGTTTTTTTAATCAGTTTTCTCAGTTCATATCCGGTTTTTCTCTATTTCTCTATGTTTAGTGATTAAACTTGAGAGATCGCTGGTTAA